AATAAGCTTCCTATTCTAATTTTTTAGTACATTTGACTCTAATCTAGATTGCAAATTTTGAAGATTGCTGAGATATGTCACCCCTAGTAAGGTTAACCTGTTTTGATTTAAAAAAAAAATTCATGATTCTGCTCCACATTTCTTAGACTGTACTCGCCAGCATTCCTGAAAGGAGCTCAGTGAAGTTTTAGAATTTTCATTTGTAAGAGTCACTCTCTCAGCCAAGGCGAGAAAATCAATGTCTTCAGATGGAAGTGTGCTGCCGTGCCACTCCCTAAAGTGTCACGAGTGGGTCATTTGGGTACTCTTTTATGGGAATTCAAGGACCCTGAACATCCGAGACTGTCAGGATGCTTAGGGCCCTTATGAATCTTCCAGGTGACCCAGAAGCATTCCTAACCCAGGACTGGTGTATGTTCTTTGGTAGGAAGCTCTATGAGACTGCTACACATTGCAAACAATGACTAGATACTTCTGCAGAATTTTCAGAAACTTCCTTTGGAAGGTTGTAAGAAGCAGTTTGTCTCGTATTCAGAGTAAATTTTTAATTTACCTTTATTTGAATAATATAGTTAACCTTGTTGGTTTTAAGTGACAGCAGCCAAATCCAAATTGTAAGTACCTCAAAAGACCACAAGATGTCACTATGGGCTCAAAGTATTTTAAGCAAACTAACAAGACTAAAGAGCAAAAATTGTGATACCAAATTCAAGAGCGTCCCCTCAAAGATATGCTACCAAATTGGAGGGTGTCCCCTCACAAATACAATACCAAATTTGGGGCTGGGGATGTAGCTCAGTAGTTAAGTGTTTGCCTAGCATGCACAAGGCCCTGGGTTCAGTCCCCAGTACCACAAAATAAATAAATAAATAATCGAAGACATCCCCTCAACAATTCACTGGTTTTCCAGGTTGGCAATTCTGCTAAGGTGTCAAAGGCAGTCACTTAGGGGTGACCCAAAACAGGTTGAACAAAGCCTGAGTGTGAGGGCCACAAAGGTGTTAGTGCTCCAAACCAGGGCCTCAAACAAGTCAAACAGCAGCCACTTGCCTTGCTTTGTTGAGTGGCACTGTACTCAGCCTGAAGGAACCGCACACTCTTCTGCTCCTTTCAAGAAGATCCTTTTGACTGATAACCAGAATATATAGGGAACTTAAAAAACTAAATTCTCCCAAAACTAATGAACCAATAAAGAAATGGGCAAGTGAACTAAACAGAACTTTCTCAAAAGAAGAAATTCAAATGGCCAAAAAACATGAAAAAATGCTCACCATCTCTAGCAATAAAGGAAATGCAAATTAAAACCACACTAAGATTCCACCTCACCCCTGTTAGAATAGCCATCATCAGCAACACCACCAACAACAGGTGTTGGCGAGGATGTGGGGAAAAAGGAACCCTCTTACACTGTTGGTGGGAATGTAGACTAGTACAACCACTCTGGAAAAAAATTTGGAGGCTACTTAAAACACTAAACATTGATCTACCATTTGATCCAGCAATACCACTCTTGGGGATATACCCAAAAGACTGTGACACAGGTTACTCCAGAGGCACCTGCACACCCATGTTTATTGCGGCACTATTCACAATAGCCAAGTTATGGAAACAGCCAAGATGTCCCACCACTGATGAATGGATTAAGAAAATGTGGTATCTATACACAATGGAATTTTATGCAGCCATGAAGAAGAACGAAATGTTATCATTCGCTGGTAAATGGATGGAATTGGAGAACATCATTCTGAGTGAGGTTAGCCTGGCCCAAAAGACCAAAAATCGTATGTTCTCCCTCATATGTGGACATTAGATCAAGGGCAAACACAACAAGGGGATTGGACTATGAGCACATGATAAAAGCGAGAGCACACAAGGAAGGGGTGAGGATAGGTAAGACACCTAAAAAATTAGCTAGCATTTGTTGCCCTCAACGCAGAGAAACTAAAGCAGATACCTTAAAAGCAACTGAGGCCAATAGGAAAAGGGGACCAGGAACTAGAGAAAAGGTTAGATCAAAAAGAATTAACCTAGAAGGTAACACCCACGCACAGGAAATCAATGTGAGTCAATGCCCTGTATAGCTACCCTTGTTCCTTCCTATTATGGCTTATACTCTCTCTACAACAAAATTAGAAATAAGGGCAAAATAGTTTCTGCTGGGTATTGAGGGGGTTGGGGGGAGAGGGAGGGGGCGGAGTGGGTGGTAAGGGAGGGGGTGGGGGCAGGGGGGAGAAATGATCCAAGCCTTGTATGCACATATGAATAATAAAAGAAAAAGAAAAAAAAAAAGATCCTTTTGCTGCCCTCAAAACATATTAAGCCAAAATACCTGAGACCAAGGGATCTCTGGAATAAAAGAGTTTACTGAGCTGTGACAGATACTAGTCAGAAAAAGGACCAGATCTTGGAACAAATTTCTACAGTTAACATCAGCAAGAGTAGATAGCAGTTGGAAACATGTCCAGTAGACTTAGCGGGAACAGTATTTTCATAACAAAAACTGACCCTATCTTGGCTAAAGAGGGGTATTATAACCCAAAGCAGGAAAACTTTGTGGTGGTTGGGCAGTCTCTAAGGAAATGTAATTGCTGATTCTGGATTGCTTGGGGTTAATAGTCTGGAAAATTTAAACTTAAGTAGGGCATGGTGGCCCTTGTGGTCAGAAGTGATGGCATTTAAGTTAAGATTTCAACGTACTTTCAGGAATGTGAATAGTCTTTGTTGGGTTTTGCCTGCCTGCATCAGTTTGCCTGTGATGAACTTCGCTTATCTCTCCCTCCATTGTTTAGTCCTTGTAATTAAATTTAGGACACCTCAGAATTTTTCTCTTATCAGCCATGGCATTACAAAAGCTTTGATTTCACTAGAGGACAGGAATTTTTCAACTCCATTATAATCTGATGGAACCACTGTCATTCAGTGAAATGTCATGTGGTGCATAAGTATATTTTTAAAAAATAGAGTACTTAATTTGGCTTGGAGTAAGAACTCCAAATCACTTTCATTTAGTATTTTAGGTGTGAAATAATTGCCACCATTTACCACATTTATTAAAACAAAAGTTCAGTGTACAACTTGAATCAGGTAACTCTTGGTCAAGAAAAAAAGACCAATAATGCATGGTACAAAATCTTTAATATACATGCAACAAGTATAGTACATCACGGCAACAAAATACACATAGAAATATTGACATAATTCAGCATTCTTTTTTGGGTGAGTTGTAAAAAATAAAGATAAAGACATTGTTTACTCATGCAAACATTTGCAAACTACTCTAGCTAGTGTGAAATGAACTATATAGAAATCTGAATTTCACAGTAGCAGATGAATTTTATACCAAGAGCTCCAAGAAAGGAGGAAAAGTCACGATCCTCGGATGTCGTTTAAATCTGCAGTTAGCAGTATGTTTACATGCACAAATTTACTGCTTCCATTAGACAAATCTGAAAAATTTTACCAGTTATGGAATTCTGAATTTCCTTCTACACTATAAAAATGTGTGGAAACAATTTTTTAATTCCTAAAGGATCATAAATGTCAGTTGAGATTAGATCATGAGTGATAAGCATTTAAACATCTCCTAAGAACTCTTAGGAAAGCAGCAGTAGGGCTCAAGGCCAGCCTAAAATTTCAAAAGTTCCCCCTCCTTACTCATTTCCTTACTTCATCCTCTAAAAGTTTCCACTATCTTCAGTTGATAATTTCCCTCCTTTCCCCATGCTGATTAAAAATTGTTTTGAATACCCTGCTTTTAGTAAGGTATCCAGAATTGAGAACAGGTTAAAAGTACCATTGCTCAAGAATATTTGCATTTCTGTAAGTATTAAAACCCTAAGATAAAGGAAAAAAGCTCTTGAGTATGTTCTGGCACATCTAAGATAAATTATTTGAAGGACTTCCAGGCCTCCTTTGTCCCTGAAATGACACTGTAGGCTGTCTCACATATAAAATGGGCCTTGTTACTACTGCTTATTTTATATTCCAAATTATGAGGCTAAGCTCTAATATTACGGAGAACCATTATACTCCTACATTTCTAATACAATGAATGTGGTGGTTCAGTTCTAAAAAAAATGTTTTAGGACGAGCACTCTTCCTATATGTCAAACCTAATATGAAAGTAATGTTTATTAACAAACAAAATTCCGTATGAAGTCTTGGATAAGTATTGTGGCCTCTTCAATATAAACAACATACAAAACTTCTTTGGCACAACTGATCATGTTATCCTCGTATTACTTACTATAGAAATATACTTCATATATTTTCATTTTCAATATGGTGGAATTTTTAGGGATAAATGTAGCTGTTTCAAAAATTGCAAAAAGATTTTAAAATACAGACTGTATAAAAAAACTAATTTAACTATAGAATTATAGGGTTTTTTTGACATTAACATCAGTTTTAAAATGAGATTATGGCATAATGATAAAGGCTATAAAACATACATGACAAAATTCACTGCTGTTGCACACAAGGGAGACAGAAATAGCACTGTATGTCAGACATATATTTACTGTTAAATATGGTGGTTACTCTAGTGATCCTTATTTAAAAGCTTCTCAAATCATTAACTGAACTTGAAATCTTTCCTGATATAACACTTTTTCAACATCTGTTCTATATTTTGAAATGTTGTTCCAACTTTTAGGCATACCTGATCACATTTAAAAATTGATAAGCTTTTAAAAAAAATCTTGGGAAAGCAAAGTTTATAAATTTACTCATTTTTACTGCATATAAATTACTTCCCCTATAACCATTACAAATTAAGTTAGTAACTGCCTAAAAAGACATTCCCACAAAATTTATAAAATGCTAAATTGGTACCGAATGGTAAGTGTTAAAGAAAAACTAAAAAACCACTGTGAAGCTATAGCTGAGAACCTTCCCCTGATACAAAACGTGGCATTTAAACATTAGAACCTAGGAAAAAATTAATGCAAAAATTAAATGTATTAGTTGTCTTTTTCTGAAAAGTTAATCATAGAATAAAGGAGTGAAAGCAAATACTTAGCTTACATTTCTGGAATAAAACCTTGAACTCAGTCTCTGGCCACTAAGATACATTTAAATAAATATATAAAAATCAGTTGAATAATAACTATGAACAATTTGCAATTAATTATCAATTTGGAGAATCTTTGAAAGTTTTTAAAAGCCTATTCAATTTTAAACTTCCTGTGACAAATACAAGATTATTTAAAAGAAAAATAGCAGGACCATTATGTTTTTACCTCAGAAGTTTACATAGAGTGGACTGAACTCTCTAAGCAATAGAATTCCAGACATGTACCAGAACAATATAAAATTTCAAAGGTCTTCCCAGCAGTCAAACTTATGTAAATTGAACATTTACAATATAGAAACTTTTGGCTTTCATGGAAAGTTTTTCAGGATGGAGTGAGGCCTGGACTTGTCATCTCTGTTGTAGGACTTCCAAGGTAGTCATTAGATTTAAGACTTGTTAGAGACTTGTAACTTGCCACTGATGTTAGAGACCCACAGAGACCAAGTAGTGAGGGAGTATCTTCTTTACCTGAAAATTAGGGTAAAACAACAATCAATAGCCTACAAGAATGATACAACAAGATCCTGAAAATATTAGGAACTTCCACAATTTATAAGATATTGAAAATATGTAAGCCAGGCACTGGTGGCTCATGTCTATACTCCTAGTTATTCAGGAGGCAGAGATCAAGAGGATGTGGGTTTGAAGCCAGCCTTAGGCAAATTAGTTCGTGAGACCCTATCTCAAAAAAAAAAAAAAAAGAAAAGAAAAAAATCACAAAAATAGAGCTGGTGGAATGGCTCAAGTAGTCAGAATGCCTACCTAGTGTGAGGCCCTGAGTTCAAACTCCTGCACCACCACCACCAAAAATAAAAAAGAAAATATCTTAACTGTGCAGCTAAAATTTGTATCTAACAATATCTAAAGACTCAAAGATCTGTATCTGAAGATATATTCAGTAATTTCAACAAAAGCCTTAAAAATATCACATAAGGTTATTTGTGTTTTGCTTAAAACTTCTAAATAATGGACACTTGAGATACTATGTTTTATAGCAAAAATTTAAAGTTTAGCTTCTTTATTTTGGTGGTACTGGGGTTTGAACTTAGGGCCTCATGCTTGCTTAGCAGCTGCTCTACCATTTGAGCCACTGCACCAACTCTTTTTTGTGATTTTTTTTTTTCAAGATATGGTCTTAAGAACTATTTGTCTGATCTCTGCCTCCTGAGTAGTTAGGATTACAGGTGTGGCCCACCAGTGCCTGGCTACCTTTTTTTTTTAAACAAACATCATCATGTTTAATTGATTAGTAAGGAATAATTAAAAACTCAACTAAATAACAGTTAACAGTGCTCAGGCCAGAGAGATCCTGGGAAACCCACAGTTAGGTTAAGTAATGTATCAGAAGCAGATTGATCCTTGTCAGATTGGATTGATCCACTCAATATGAAGTCTGGATATTTAGAGACTTTATTCACTTGTCAATTATCTACTCAGTGTCCCCTGCACATTAGTAACTTTCTTAAGTGCTAAACTTACACAAAATCATGAAGGAGGAAGGGTAGAAGTATGTTTTCAGGCTGAGGAAAAATAAGTTCTTTCCAAAGCTGAGTTTCAACCCATCTGTTCAAATACTAACTATAAGTGGCTGATTTGGGGCAAGTAAGGTCTTTGAAAACTAGCAGGTTTCCAAAGAAGAGTGAAAACAAAAAAGGACAAAAAACTTAGGTTTTACTCACTCAGTTACAGAAGTATAAGCTGAGCTAGGTGTCATGAATATTATGTATTGTTATGAATATGATGTATCATTTCAAACAGCCCCTCTGAAGTGTCCCACAGTCCTTTGTACTTATCTCACCTTGTCACGCTGTGAATACTAGGTATTCTCTTTTATTAGACTACCAACTCTGAGAAAGGACATGGACTTTGTTGTGTTCATTGTTACATTTCCAGAGCCCCATTAAATAACTATATAATTAATGAAAAATAATCAGTGAAACTGTACTAGGATGCAAGATAGCACTTATGTCTATTTTAGCTGTGTGACCTTAGGCAGAGCATCTTCTCTGAGCCTATTCTTTCCTTTGTAAAACAGGTAAGAAAACATGACTCTGCTGATTTCATAATTGGGCTGACTAGTAACATGCAGGAAAATGTAATGGTGATAGGAAAAGATATGAATGAGTAGTTGTTACAGTTCTATTAAAAATGTTTATCATAACTAGGATCAAAAGGTATAAAGATGTTCTAAGCACTTTTTTTGGTTTTGGTTTTGTGGTCCTGGGAATCAAACCCAGTGTCTGGGTCATGCTAGGCAAAGACACTGTCACTGAGCCACACCCCCAGCCCTTTAAGTACTCTTTTAATGTTTAACTTGGAGACCCATTTTAAGCCAAAATTAGCTCTCTTCCCAAATGCTCTAAGGACACAACTACTTTGGACAGTCTTTCCAAATTTAACCCTGAATCTTTTAGTGACTTATTGATACACATATACACACACAGATTTTCTTTTTTTTGGTGGTACTGAGATTTGAACTCAGGGCCTCCTACTTACTACTGTGCAGGCATTCTTCCTACTTGCTGCATAGTCACTGGGATATGGACAGCCATACCACAGTCCTTTTTAGCTTTAGTTTTTGGGGTTTTTTTTTTGTTTTTGCTGCCTACTAATTTATTAGCGTTAGTTATTTTTCAGACAGGGTCTTGCATTTTTCCATGGGCTGGCCTCAGACCACAATCCTCTTCCCTATGGCTTTCTGCATAGCTGAGATTTACAGTTGCATGCCACCATGCCTGGTTTACTGAGATAGGGTCTTGCTAACTTTTGCCTTGGCTGGCCTCAAATCAAAATCCTCCCAATATCCACCTCCTGAGTAGTTGGGATTACAGACATGAGCCACCATGCCTAGCTTGGAACTATTTTCTTTACTGTGGTAAATATATAGAACATAGTTTATGATTTTAGCCATTTTAAATTGTACAATTCAGTGACATTAATAACATTCACACTATCACACATCCATTACCATTTCCATAATTTGTCACTACCCAGTTTTTTTCATCAAAATTTCATTTTGTTGGTAGAGGGCCTTAAAAGCTCTTTTCTAGATTTAAGCTTTCTGGCCTTGACATACAGTTAGTGACTGCGTGTATATGTGAGAGACTCTTGAGAAATGTGGGGCATTTTGCAATTAAGATCTATGTTCCCCTTTCACAAAAGATAATTTATGCTTAATGCAATGAACACATCATATATCTGTTAAATAATGGTATCTGTCCCAAAGTAAGCCAGTTTTCAGTTTAATTTCCTATTAAACAACAAAGGAAGGGGGCACTGGACAAGGGGGGCAGAAATGGCCCAAACAATGTATGCACATATGAATAAATGAATAAAGAAAAAATAACAAAGAAGAACCTTTCCATTGAATATGCCTCAGAAAAGTTATAATCTTTGGGTTCAAAGTGACAAACTTCTACTTGAAGAGCTACAGGAAAGGAGTCAGATTTCTCCTTTGATGATACCCAGTCATGGACAAAGCTTTCTGGAACTGCCCCTCCAAGGAAGGGGAGAAGTCCAGATTTGCTAGAGCACTTGCAAATAAAAAAGAAATCCCATAAATAATGTGTTTAAGCCAGAATAATTAAAAATGCCTTTTAATATTGTTTAATGCTGTTCAGTTCAGAAAACAAAAAGGTTGTCTCTGGGTGTTTTAAAATTTCAAACTCAATTCTTACAAGTACCCATGGCAGATGCCTGAACTAGATTGCCAGTGGAGGGGATACAGAGAAAAAAAGTAGAAATCTTTAGTGTCAAAATAGTAGGATTTGGTGATTGAAAAATGTTAAGTGGGAGGAGCCAAGAATGACTCAAAAGGTTTTTACAATTCATAAGTAAATAGTAATTACAATCACTAACTCTAAGAAAGAGAAATTTGGAGTAGAAAGAGGTAGTCAATGGGGACAGTGAGAGGCCATTAATATATATACTAATTTATAAATGCCTAAAGAAATTCCTTAGCCTCTACTAAAAACTAAAAAATATAGGAAAAGTTTTGTATTAAAGCTGTTGTGAAAGGATTATGTCACCATTTTATGATCAAGGGTTAGGGAAAATGACCATTTAATGCAATAAAATTTCAAACTCATTGAACCTATGAGTTCTGTAGTTGACTAAGAAGATGTTATGATACAGTTGTTTTTGCATGAGCTTTGTCACAAGTATTCATGCTGGTATCACTTTAATTACTTTTGTGACTATAAGCATCAAGTTTAAGTGCTGCTTGAAATGCTTTAAAAATATAATTTAGTCTCAAATGAAATGTTTGTTGTAGAAAAGCATGAAAACAGACAGCTAGAGGTAAATTTCCTATTACTGAAGCAAATATACATCATTAGAAGAATTATTTCAACATATATATATATCTATATATCTATATATAGATATATATATATAGAGAGAGAGAGAGAGAGAGAGATGATACATATATATATAATTTTTTTTTTGGCAGTACTGGGGTTTGAGCTCAGGGCTTCATGACTCTAGCACTTGAGCCAAGTCTCCAGCCCTAGGCAGGTGCTTTACCACTTCTGTCAAATTTCCAGACCCTTTTTGCTGTGGTTATTTTGGAGACAGGATGTTGCCTTTTGCTCAGGCCTGCATGACCTCTATTCTCCTGTTTTACACTTCCCACCATTCCTGGGATGACAGGTATCTGCCATCATGCCCTTTTTTTTTTCCTTTAAGATGGGGTCCTTGAGGTCCAGGCTGGCCTTAAACTGCAATCCTCCTGATATCAGCCTCTTGTGTAACTAACTTAGGATGAAGGCACACCATCGCACTGAGCTACTGGTTGAGATGGGGTGTCTTGAACTTACTTTGCCTCAGCTGGCCTCAAACTGCAATCCTCCCAATTTCAGCCTCTCAAGTTGCTAGCATTACAGGCTCGAGCCACCACATCCAGCTGCTGTTATTTGCTTTCTTGATGATAGCCATTCTGACTAGGGTGATAGGGAATCTCAGTGTAGTTTTGATTTGCATTCCCTTTATGTCTGAGGATGCTGAATATTTTTCATGCATTTAGTAGCAGTTGTATTTCTTCTGAGAACTGATCAGTACATTTTCCCATTTATTTGTTCTTTGGGTGTTTAATTTTTTGAACTCTTGTATATTCTCGATATTAATCCTGTATTCATTGAATAGCTGGCAAAGATATTCTCCCATTCTGTGGGTTGTCTCTTCATTTTGGTCATGTTTTTCCTTTGATGTATAGGGGCTTTTTAATTTGATGCAATTCCATTTATCAATTCTTGCTCTTTTCTTCGCAGGCAATTGGATTCCTATTTAGAAAATAATTGCCTGTGCCTATATCTTCCAGTGTTTAACTTATGCTTTTCTATAGTAGTTTCAAAGTTTCAGGTCTACATAATATTTGGTTCATTTTGAATTGATTTTTTTGTACAAAGAGGTATCGGTCTAGTTTCAGTCTTCTATAGGTAGATGACCAGTTTTCCCAGCACCATTTGTTA